GCTCTACGAGCTCTCCAACGAGTTGTTGAAAGGCCAGTTTTTGATTGTCGGGGATTTTTTGTTGAATTAGATTGGCCCATAGATCCTCGCCTGAGGGTGGTGGATTCAGCTGCAAAGCACAAATAAAATATTAGAACTTGAGAGAGGTGTGAAAAACTTACGGGCTCAAAAAATTCTTTTCTTAGCCTAGCTTTGTCCATAATATTTGTTGCCGACCCCTTTTTCAGGACCCATCAAATCAGCAAGTTGAATAAACGCAAACCATTTCAAGAAATTGAGCAAATTAACCTGTAAAAAATCTTACAAAATCTATTTTTTGGAGCTGAGTGTTAGGAATTGCTAGGAATAGCAGAGGCTCGCCTTGTTTCAATAAAATTAAATAAAGTCGTTACTCTCGAGACGACGGATAGCTGTTTGTGAGTTCTTCGTCGTCGAAGGCCTGGAGCCTATCGATTTGGCTGCGAAGCTGGCCGTCGGATTTCCTCATTCGAATTGCCTCAAATGCTCACCCTCACACTTCATTCGTAACGTCAACGAATATGGCTGGCTGGAAGATGTATTTCCGCATGTTCTTGGGAAAAACGCGAGAAGATGTGAAGCTGCTGCACATATGAATACAAAGCTACGTGTCCTTTGTTGGGACGTAGAAAAAAAAGAGCTACCCGTAGCAACTGCATGCTCATCAGTCATCAGCTAATAATTGCTCATCAAATCTATTAGTTCCCCTGCAATATCCGACCTCTTTTTACATTTGTTATATTGAGCTATATCACTGTATTAGGGTTGTCAAATGGATAGTCTGGGTAGCTTTTGCTGCTCTACGAATGATGCAGACAAATTTTTGTCCAATGGGTATTTCTGGAGATAGCACTTCAAAGAGAACTGAAGAGAAACCCAAAAAAGACGTAAAGAAGTTAAAGAATAATTCTTAGAAGAAGAATGATTCAGAATAAGAACAATATTTCTCTTATTGCGCGCAAATCTGAGGAAATGTCGCGTTTTTTTATCAAGGAATTTCGAAATAGCAGATACAATTTAAAAGTTCCACTTTCCTTAAACCTCGGCATCACTAATATTCTTCAGTACTGCTGTGCCAGACAGGTTTGGTAGGTGTTCTTTATTCCAATCAAGGCCTAACGTTTCGACGCCTTTCGTCTTCCTCAGAGGCCTGAAAATGGCTCAAAGCGTCATCTGTGAAAAGAGGCCATCAAGCACCATCCTCATTCCTGCTAGTTCTCGATCTTCGCTCAACATCCCTACCGCAAAAATTGTCAGCGCCAGAAAATGAACATACCGTTGAGAACACCGCTATGTCAGTTTCCGCACCGGAAGTGATGGTCTTGGCGGAAGGACTAAACTATACTATAAATGCACATAGCATGTGATCTATAGATTGCATATCGATAAGAATGGAAGGAAGTCGTTGGTGACTGACAAACATTCATTCTTATTGTTCATTGCTGGATTCTTTGAAGAGATCCAGAATGCTTCCAGCGCCTTCCTAGCCGAGGTTTCCTTCTCATAGGTTAAGATTTCGCACTTTATATCGAAATCGGCTCCACCATGCGCTTCGTTCCTATGCCTGCCCAACGGTGATAACAGGGTTTTACGCCTTTTATCTGCCAGATGTTCGTTTATGCGAGTACTAAGTGATCTTCCAGTTTCGCCAATATAGAGAGCATTGCAGCTAAGGCATTTCAATTGATAAACCACTCCCGCTTGTGCACAGTCACCTATTCTACCGTACGGACAGACTACGCATCTTTCTGTTATACAGTATCGATCGTAAAGTCTGTTTCGAACTAACTGCTTTTTGATATTGTCGTTTGGGATGTTTCATGAAACATCCCAAACGACAATATCAAAAAGCAGTTAGTTCGAAACAGACTTTACGATCGATACTGTATAACAGAAAGATGCGTAGTCTGTCCGTACGGTAGAATAGGTGACTGTGCACAAGCGGGAGTGGTTTATCAATTGAAATGCCTTAGCTGCAATGCTCTCTATATTGGCGAAACTGGAAGATCACTTAGTACTCGCATAAACGAACATCTGGCAGATAAAAGGCGTAAAACCCTGTTATCACCGTTGGGCAGGCATAGGAACGAAGCGCATGGTGGAGCCGATTTCGATATAAAGTGCGAAATCTTAACCTATGAGAAGGAAACCTCGGCTAGGAAGGCGCTGGAAGCATTCTGGATCTCTTCAAAGAATCCAGCAATGAACAATAAGAATGAATGTTTGTCAGTCACCAACGACTTCCTTCCATTCTTATCGATATGCAATCTATAGATCACATGCTATGTGCATTTATAGTATAGTTTAGTCCTTCCGCCAAGACCATCACTTCCGGTGCGGAAACTGACATAGCGGTGTTCTCAACGGTATGTTCATTTTCTGGCGCTGACAATTTTTGCGGTAGGGATGTTGAGCGAAGATCGAGAACTAGCAGGAATGAGGATGGTGCTTGATGGCCTCTTTTCACAGATGACGCTTTGAGCCATTTTCAGGCCTCTGAGGAAGACGAAAGGCGTCGAAACGTTAGGCCTTGATTGGAATAAAGAACACCTACCAAACCTGTCTGGCACAGCAGTACTGAAGAATAGCAGATACATTTTTTATTCGCTAAATAGAGAAAACCTGGTTGCGATCAGAAGCCAAATTACTTATCTTCATATTCATCACTGCAAAAAAACGAAGCTTAGAAAGACAAAGAACTGAAATTGTGGAAATTTGACCATATTGGGGCATAATTTTTTTTACTAATGCTAGACAATTAGAGTTTGATCTACTCAACTCACAAAATCACAGATGAAAAACAACGAGAAATGTTTTTATGGGGAATTCCATGTAAAAATGAACTTATTCTTTCCTACTATTTTGCGCAACTGAAACAAAACCCTCTACATGTGTGTCCTTTGAGACCATGAGCAGGACAATACCTATGAATGTGCTACCCATGTTGGACACGAAGGTACCATAAACACTTCCGATCAAATAAACTCAGGGAATTGCGGTAAAGATGTAAAAGATAGGTATAAATTATTGATACGTTCGTAAAAATGAAGGGTTTACTTTACTGCGTAGGTGGTTAGGTTCCAGCAAAACTCACCAGTTCTAACGATATCACTCAACCAAAGCGGTAATTCAATTTCCTTTCATGAGATATTCTGAGAAAAACCTAATTATGACAGAGTTTTCCACGAAATCGTTCTTCAATGTCTCAGGAAAGCCGTATCTCTGTTCATGAAGTGCCCGAAAAACAGAATTACCGGTGAAATCATTGGCTTTACTTCACCCAAATTTCCCTAGAATTGTTTATTCTCCTACGACTACACATAAAAAACTCATAGCACTGAGTTGGGGGGGGGGGGGGGGGGGAAGGTGTTCAGTCCACATCAATTCGTTGGCGGCTGCAGAGTCCGACGAATTTTTCGGTGTTTCTTTAAACCGCAGTTTTCTTTTTCTGTGTCTTCCGGTACGAGATGGTAAATGTACCCTTGAGGTCACAATCACGATCCGTAGCGGAATCTCAAGGGAATGAAGTCCTTCGTCAGTACTGGGGACAGAAGACGGATGACATGCCCCTTGACAACGATGGAATATGTCAAACCGAGGAAGGGGTTATTCGACCAAGCATCAATGACTCGACCGCTTGTAGCGTAGGCAGGATCGTTGAATAAAGCATGATTTATTATACCTTTGACAAGAAACCTTTAAGCACCTTCAGTGTTATAGTAAGTTTACATGACCTCTGCTACTTCTGCTAAACTTCTGTCTCTTTGATCAGAATGCTTTCGCAAAGTTAGGATTTTACGACTATGGAGGGATGGCGTTTCTCTGAGTTGGCAATTTTCTGGTATAAGACATGTTTTTTGTAATTATTCTCGTCTTGTTTTTGATATCGTTCTCGTCTAATGGCTGTAATTTGATCTTTCGTTTGAACAATAGGGCATGAGTGCTCAAGGAAAGCCGGGGACAAAACATAACGGCGGAAATGTGCTCAGTAAACGATTAAAGCGGTTGCTGACGACTGTAGTCCGTCCATGAAAACGAGCGAATCACAGTTACGCGGGCTGTATCACACTAAGGTTACGGTACCGTGAAGTTTGTTCCCTCAAAATGAGAAATCAAGCACATAGGGCATGAAAGAAAGAAAATACGGCGTTACATGTGAAATTTGATTCTCGCTACTTGTGAAAATGCAGCCCGCGGTTTCGTAATATCAAAGTGCATCTCATTTTCTGAATGTCTTTTCGTTTTTAATTTGATTCTTTCAAGGTCTTTTTAAGCAAGTACGAAAATATGCATACAGTCATAACTCACTCAATTGCTTTGGGATTGTTGAAGACTAGATCCACAGGCATAGTGTACAACTGGACTTCGACAAAGACTGATTTGATGCGGAATCCATGAAAAGCAGTATCTCGGCAAATCACTACGAATGGAAGCGCAAGAATGCTAAAGACCCAAGATTTAGTGATTAGCCCTCCACGTTAGATTAATCTCCCACTGATCTCTTGTCTCCTGTGGCATCGAGCTTTATACCAGATACCCACATGGAACAAATTGTAGTCTGACTGATTTTGCAGCGAGAAATTAGCTTTCTAGATGAGCTCATGAAATATTTCTCTTTTACTTCATAATGTCAAAAACTCACAGTTGAACAGATCAATGACGGTGGGCTGACGACCATTTTCCAGATCCGGTGTTTTAGACAGTTTTGTTGTTTCAAAGCTCCTTGTAAACTTCCTCAAAATCGAATTTGTTACTCTACATCGCACAGAGATCAAATACAACTGATCACGTTCTTTTCAGAGCCACCGTTCATGTCATGTTAGCAATGAACAATTGTTTATGCATATAACGGATTGCTGTTGTGCTATGTCAATGTGGAGAAATAAGGACGATTCACTTTGCCTAGTTGACTGTTAGCACAAGGTCCGTAAGGATGGTTGTGGTGTTATCTTGCGTGTCATCTAATTGTAAGATGTTCAGAGATGAATATTGAAGACCTTGCCAAAGATGAAGCCGCGAAAGCAAAACCCCTGAAAAAGAAAGGCTACGACGACGTCGAAATCAGCGATTTATCAATGTCATCCGAAAAGTAAGCCTTGTTTGCTCTTTTAGTCGATTGACATGAGAATAGACAAAGAATCTATTGCTTGAAATTTTTCAGATCAAAGAAGAAGGATGAGAAGGTGATATATTCTTTGAGCCTTTTTCCTGCAATCAAGTAATGCTTATATATTCCAGAAGTCAAAAGAAAAAGGTGGTAGTAAGGAGAAAAAAGAGGGCAGAAAAAAGGATGAGAAGGAAGGCGAGAAGAGAGATGAAGACAAAGAGAAGAAGGAAAAACCCAGGAGCAAGGAGAGAGAAAAAGAGCAAAAGTCTGGATCCCCAAGGAAAGAGTCAAAGGAAAGGAAATCAACAGAAAAAGACTCAGACCTGAAAAGTGGTGAGAAAACCAAAGATAAAGAGAAGTCCGGGGAGAGGACACCAGAGAAATCCGGAGAGGCGTTGGATAAGTCCGCGGAGCCGGTGCCGAAGAAGGGTGATATACCACCAGAGCAAAAACGGGTACGACATTGTTGATTTTGATACGATAACATCAAAATGTGTCTTCTACTATAACCCAAACCCAATTCCCCGAAAAGGGAGGAGAAATCATCAGAGAGGGGGTTTGGGATGTAGTCATTTTTGACCGTGATTGCTCGTTCATAAAAAACTCAAAATCCAAAGTTAGAAAGGTCACCGTCTTGGAATGAGTTATTCTTTCCGCAACTTGTCAAAAGGGCCGGGCATACTTCGCGCGATTTGGCAATATTCCAGCTGTCACTCACTGTAAGCAGATTTTGAATGTAAAGAAGATGGGGCATTTTATCAATCCATGCAAGTTATACACACTATGCATGTGCAGTCTGCTAGTGTTGGATCCGAAGACTTCTGGCGCATTGCCAAGTCGCTCGAGACTGAAATTTCGTGAAGTATGCCCGGCCCTGAAGGTGGTGTCAAGAGACTACAAATTCATTTAAAAACTGCTCCAAGTAATTCAAGCCGAGCTTTACAGACAAAGACTTTTGTATCACAAACTTTCAAATATCTTTATGGCTTTGCAATCAGCTCCCTGCCGACTCCAACAATGATTGAACCGTTTGATTAATAATACTGATTTCCCTTACCTGGAAGGTCTTCACAACTTTTCTTGAGAGTGCTGGACAACATGGAACATATACAAGGAACATTTATTCGTTTTATGGTTCGTAAACCTAAAGATTCTTCGTATTTTTGGAAGAAAAACTTGGAAACTTTGCGAAAATTTCTGGAAAAAGCTGGTAAAGACCTAGCGATCTAAAGTAACATTCTAGTGAAAAGAAGGAAATCATTTTCCTTAGATTAACGCACTGTTTCGTCTATCTCAAGACAGAGAGATTGCGACAGTCTAGATAGAAAAAATCTTTTTCTGCCTCTTTCTGTAATAATCTTATATATAAAGCTGAATGTCTGTTTGTCTGTCTGTCTGTCTGTATGTCTGTCTGTATGTACGTATGTTCCGAATAGAAAATTCCATTTCTGAACCGATCCGGACCAAACTTGGCACACATACACTACGGGCCCCGGCGGGTGTCATAGGCTACTTTTCGTCATCGATCGATATCGATTTTATCGATTTTTATCGATTTTTTTGCTGAGTTCACCTACGGGGCTGGGAGTTGGCACAGGGGGGTAATCGAGCATGGGGATTCCGATTACAATATTGGTTTTCAGGATTATCGATTACTTTTATCGATTTTATCGATTTTTTTGCAAAGTTTGAGCTAGGGGGCTGGGAGTTGGCACGGGGGGGGGGGGGTAATCGAGCATGCTGAGCACCCCCAAGGGGGGTGATCAGCATGCTCGATTACACTCCTGTGCCAAATTCCAGCCCCCTAGCTCAAATTTTCAAAAAATCGATGAAATCGAAAAAGTAATGGACGATCCTGAAAACTAATATTGTGTTCGTAATCTGCATGCTCGATTACCCCCCTGTGCAAACTCCCAGCCCCGCAGGTCAAACTTTACAAAAAAAAAATCGATAAAATCGATAAAAGTAATGGACGATCCTGAAAACTAATATTGTGTTCGTAATCAGCATGCTCGATTACCCCCCTGTGCAAACTCCCAGCCCCGCAGGTCAAACTTTACAAAAAAAATCGATAAAATCGATAAAAGTAATGGACGATCCTGAAAACTAATGTTGTATTCGGAATCCCCATGCTCACTTCCCCGCCTTTGCCAACTCCTAGCCCTGTAGGTGAACTCTGCAAAAAAATCGATAAAAATCGGTAAAATCGACATCGATCGATAACGAAAAGTGGACTGTGACACCCGCCGGGGCCCGAAGTGTATGTGTGCCAAGTTTGGTCCGGATACGGCGGAGCCGGGTAAGCCAGCTAGTGGCCATTATGGCACAGGTGGCATGCCATGGATTCAAAACGGCAACAAATCCCGTGAGGCCGGTAGACGTAAACCAAGAGTTAGCTTCATCTGCCCTTCCTAAAGTTCCAAAAACATCTCCAATTTGTCCCTGCGCAATAGTATGTTTCTGATACAAAGCGATAACGTAATTTTCTAGGAACCATCTCAGGAAGGAGTCGTCCCTTTATCAAAATTGGCTGCGGCCACTCCTAAGAAAGGTGAGTGATGAGCTTTGAAATAATGCTGCACCATAAGAAGATAACCTTACAGTGCCAACAAAGAAAAAGAAACGGAAGTGGTGCACATGTTTATAGCCTGAATTTCACTAGTACGTAGTACCTGAATAAGTCATTATGTGAATGTTCTTGCTTTGTCAACGATAAACTAGTTTGACTGAATCAATAAACGTTTTGAAGAGTCAAGTTGTAAACTCAAGAAAGTTGACAGCTCACGCTGGCTTAAAAGGTTTACTAGGCAGCGTTCAGAGTCGCCCGCACGCCAACGCTGTGCCAGTAGCAATCCATGCAAGAGCCCTCGTATGGATCGATTGACGTGCCAGCTAGCAGTTCGCCGCGACGGCCTTGAACAGAAGCGGCGAGGCACGGCATTGTACGTCACTGGCACGGCACTGGAACGCCACTGGCACGGGGTTTGCACTGATTTGTGCACGAGCGTCTCTGGACGTGGCCTTACTGACCCAGAAGAAATTTTTGCGCAGTGAAGATGAAAGCCTAGAAAATTTAAGGGACGGCTCAGTGTGCTTGCAAATACTTCTTGTCAAAATCGGAGTTGAGGCTTACTGCCTGCACAGTTGTTCCTTTTTTTTTTTCAAAGACGCCATTTATTCTACAAATGTAAGCTGTCAAGTATAGTTGATTCATTGGCCGTACGGACTCGACATCGCTGCGGAGCACGCAGCGCGAGGTAAAATGCTTGCTCCAGTACAAATTCGCCATTGTACAAGCCGTGCTTTCGCGACGAATCAGCCGCGCCGCATGTGGTCCGCAGCATTTGAGCAGTCCTTGCGGTCAACGAATTAACGATAACTTGTTTTGAGCGATATTCTGAAATCTTCATTTATCTTCCATTTTCCTTTCAAATGATATGTCATCAGAATGGTACAGGAAGAGAGTAATCACGAGAATTTACAAAGTTGTATATCATTTGTATCAGAAACATACTATTGCGCAGGACAAATTGGAGATGTTTTTGGAACTTTAGGAAGGGGCAGATGAAGCTAACTCTTGGTTTACGTCTACCGGCCTCACGGGATTTGTTGCCGTTTTGAATCCATGGCATGCCACCTGTGCCATAATGGCCACTAGCTGGCTTACCCGGCTCCGCCGTATCCGGACCAAACTTGGCACACATACACTTCGGGCCCCGGCGGGTGTCACAGTCCACTTTTCGTTATCGATCGATGTCGATTTTACCGATTTTTATCGATTTTTTTGCAGAGTTCACCTACAGGGCTAGGAGTTGGCAAAGGCGGGGAAGTGAGCATGGGGATTCCGAATACAACATTAGTTTTCAGGATCGTCCATTACTTTTATCGATTTTATCGATTTTTTTTGTAAAGTTTGACCTGCGGGGCTGGGAGTTTGCACAGGGGGGTAATCGAGCATGCTGATTACGAACACAATATTAGTTTTCAGGATCGTCCATTACTTTTATCGATTTTATCGATTTTTTTTTTTGTAAAGTTTGACCTGCGGGGCTGGGAGTTTGCACAGGGGGGTAATCGAGCATGCAGATTACGAACACAATATTAGTTTTCAGGATCGTCCATTACTTTTTCGATTTCATCGATTTTTTGAAAATTTGAGCTAGGGGGCTGGAATTTGGCACAGGAGTGTAATCGAGCATGCTGATCACCCCCCTTGGGGGTGCTCAGCATGCTCGATTACCCCCCCCCCCCGTGCCAACTCCCAGCCCCCTAGCTCAAACTTTGCAAAAAAATCGATAAAATCGATAAAAGTAATCGATAATCCTGAAAACCAATATTGTAATCGGAATCCCCATGCTCGATTACCCCCCTGTGCCAACTCCCAGCCCCGTAGGTGAACTCAGCAAAAAAATCGATAAAAATCGATAAAATCGATATCGATCGATGACGAAAAGTAGCCTATGACACCCGCCGGGGCCCGTAGTGTATGTGTGCCAAGTTTGGTCCGGATCGGTTCAGAAATGGAATTTTCTATTCGGAACATACGTACATACAGACAGACATACAGACAGACAGACAGACAAACAGACATTCAGCTTTATATATAAGATTATTACAGAAAGAGGCAGAAAAAGATTTTTTCTATCTAGACTGTCGCAATCTCTCTGTCTTGAGATAGACGAAACAGTGCGTTAATCTAAGGAAAATGATTTCCTTCTTTTCACTAGAATGTTACTTTAGATCGCTAGGTCTTTACCAGCTTTTTCCAGAAATTTTCGCAAAGTTTCCAAGTTTTTCTTCCAAAAATACGAAGAATCTTTAGGTTTACGAACCATAAAACGAATAAATGTTCCTTGTATATGTTCCATGTTGTCCAGCACTCTCAAGAAAAGTTGTGAAGACCTTCCAGGTAAGGGAAATCAGTATTATTAATCAAACGGTTCAATCATTGTTGGAGTCGGCAGGGAGCTGATTGCAAAGCCATAAAGATATTTGAAAGTTTGTGATACAAAAGTCTTTGTCTGTAAAGCTCGGCTTGAATTACTTGGAGCAGTTTTTAAATGAATTTGTAGTCTCTTGACACCACCTTCAGGGCCGGGCATACTTCACGAAATTTCAGTCTCGAGCGACTTGGCAATGCGCCAGAAGTCTTCGGATCCAACACTAGCAGACTGCACATGCATAGTGTGTATAACTTGCATGGATTGATAAAATGCCCCATCTTCTTTACATTCAAAATCTGCTTACAGTGAGTGACAGCTGGAATATTGCCAAATCGCGCGAAGTATGCCCGGCCCTTTTGACAAGTTGCGGAAAGAATAACTCATTCCAAGACGGTGACCTTTCTAACTTTGGATTTTGAGTTTTTTATGAACGAGCAATCACGGTCAAAAATGACTACATCCCAAACCCCCTCTCTGATGATTTCTCCTCCCTTTTCGGGGAATTGGGTTTGGGTTATAGTAGAAGA